GGTGTGCCTTTGTTCTCACAGTTTGCAAGTGTAGCCAATCTAAGTAAAGTCAGCAGTTGGAAAGTGAGACATACAAAGAAATTTTGAGGGAAGCATGATAGTAATCTTCTATTAATACAGTATTTTTATTCAGGTGGTTTCTAATTGCTGTGCAAAACGTCTGTAGTCACATAAGAGATCTTAGTAATTGGTAGAAAGAATTTGTTTTCCGAAAGGAATAAGAAATAATTGTTATGTAACAGTAGTAAAAGCTAACTAGAGACTGGAAACACAAGGAGGGGGTGAGTCCGGGTAAGAGCAATGTAGTAATGTGCATGTTTTTCTGTACAGATAGATAGGAAAGCTGTACTAATGATCTATTGCTTAGAAATATTTTAATATTTTAAGCTGTGTGTACTCTCCTTATGAAATAGAGTTTTTGCGTTCCAGGAGACTGTGGAAAGGGATTCAAGCCCACATTCTCATGTATTAATAACTATTGTCATATAGTTTATTTTTCTGATTGCTTTCATAGTTGGTAAATTATAGTTTATGAGAAGGTTTCATGGTGTGAACAATGTACTTGCATAGTGATTCTAAAAATTTCAGAAAAAGATGTGGTTTTTAACTTTTTTTTTAAGTTGGATTTCCTGAATCTGATTTGGGCAACTGCTTGAGAGATGAGAAAATCTGCAGATACCTTGTTAGTATTAAGTGTTCCATCATTATATATGTAATGGAGTAGATGTGCTATGCATTTTCATTCAGTGGGAGAAGAAAAAGATTTCATACTAACTGTGTAGTATTGTATGGAAAACATCTATATTGTAATGAGAAATGACCTAAAGATGTTATTTATATTAAGAAATAATAGTAATTGTTGTTCAATCAAAGCCATTATTTGAATGCGTGCGCTCACACTCCTAAAAGAGGAACACAAAAGGTAGCAAATCAGTACAACTCCATTGTTGTATTAGTGTCTTCAGAGCTGCTTTGTTTTATGCTTTCTTTCCTGAGGAGATCAATAATGGATGGTTGACATCATTCCTTCACTGCTCAGAAATGAGAAAGCCTAAATGCATTTCTTTAGGGCAGGCATGTTTTTCATCCTGAGCTGAAAAGCCTGTAATTGAGTGGGGTTTATAAGTGTGATTGCTATCAGTGTGTGTTCCAGTTTGATGCGCCCGTGAAAGGTTCCGCTGGCATTTACCTGGCTCTTAGGGATGTTGACCTCATCTCCTAAACCGGCCAGCATGTGAAATATCTCTGCTGAGAGGTACAAATACAGAATGATCCTAATACTCAGGAGCATTAAGGCTCAGTTTGTGATTGTGTTGGTAACTTTCTTGAAGTTTGCCAGCATAATTTGCACATACTCCGATTTAAAAAATAGAAAAATAAAAAAAAAGAGAAGGTATAGCAGAGAATAGATGGGGATGGTTCACTGCAATGTTGACCTATATTTGTGTCCTTCCAGTGAAGTGAATAGGGAGACTGTATCAAGTTTGCTATAAGTAAGAACATAGGAGAACCGGACAGCTTGCTTGACAAACATTTCTGCTGCTGTTCTTACTATTGTTCATCAGCCAGTAGCATTTAGCTCTCCAGTCATTATTACAAATGGAAATGTACCAAAGTAAAGCTCAAGAGACACAGCAATGGTAACAAAGCATGGCAAGATTGGTGTAACTTCAAAGTCAGGGTCTCTCCCTCATGTAAGCTGTTCTTTTACAATTCTAAGTGTCTTGAGGCATCCCAGGAAGCCAGCATTGACACAGTGGCTCTCAAGACTGACTGTGATCCTGTATGGGAATTGAGTCACAGCCTGAACCCCTGATTGAGCACCTGGTGACAGGACCCAGGCAGCCCTGGGAGCACAGGTGAAGGCAATTCAGTTGTGTGACAGGCAGGGGGTGGAGCCTGGCTGCACCTCTCTTAGACCTCATTTAAGGGCTGACTGCCTCCAGGGTAGGATATCTGGTTGGAGATCCCACCTTGTTGAAGCTTTCTCTTGTAAGACTGGAATCTTCTGCTACAGGTGAGCAATCTCGCTCCTTTCCTTTATAGCACCTTCCTGTTGTGCTGGTCCTTCTGCTATCACACCTCTGTTGTAACACCTTTCCCACTGTATTCATCCCTACAATTCCCTACCAAACTGAAAAGGGCAAAAGAATGTTGCAGAGCTGGGCAGCTGTACTGATTGTACGCTGATTTTGTTCTCCTTTTTGGTATGCTTTTAGTGGTACATGTGCAACAAATGTTCTCCAGCTTGGCCTATCTGTACAGTTGGATGTGGTGAAGGTCAGGCTGACTTTGCATTTTGCAGCTAGGTTTGGGTCCTGTTTTGTGACTTTGGTTTGCGTTTCTATTGTCTTGGTGGCTCATTTTTTTTCTTGGTTATATTTTGAAAAGAAGCAGTGACTCTTTGGCACGTTTTGGGAATCCTGGAGAATGGTAATTGCGACCAGGGAAGGATTGCCTGCCACTGAGTGGAGCCACGCATCCTTGTACTGCAGAAGTGTGCTTGGGGGGGGGGGGGGGGGGGGGGGGGCCCCCCCCCCCCCCGAGCGGGCCCCAGCCAGCAGGGACGGGTTCTGAAACGTTCCAGATCGTTCTGCAGCACCTGGCACTGAGCACAGCTGAGCCAGTCAGCAGTGCTGTGGTGCCTTTGAGGAAACGTGTTTGAGTGATGGCAGAAAATGCTGGAAAATACTGGGAGGAGGGGTTTTAAAAATAATAGTAATATAACAATAAAAAAATAGGAGAGAATACCAAGGTTAGGATAGGAGGTGCTCTGCTCTGTGAGGGAGCAGATGCCCGCACTGGAGCAGGTGGATGTTGGATGTTCCTGGCGCAGATTGCTGCTGAGGGGCAGCTGTGGATGGAAGTGGGGCCTGGCTGGGTGAGCCCACCTCGGGGCCAGGGTCAGTGTGTTGTGGTGTTGGAAGGTGCTGCTCTTCTGTTACTTGTGGCCACAGAACTTTGTTTCCAGAAGGACAGGAAGCCTGCTGTGTGCTGTAAGTCAGCTCTGTTTCTGAAATCTGATCTATGTCTTCCTAGCTTGCATGGATTTGGTTCAATCTGAAACGTGTTTCTGTTGTTTTCTGGGTATGCGATAGAAAGAGGTGCTGGTTCTCTTACACTTAAATATGCTATTTGTGAATTGAGTTTCAAACTCTTTTATCAATGCTGATTGCTGCCTGGGGAAATGATTCCAATATATCACAGTCTGAGGGAAAAGAGACTCGGGAGTAGCTGGATGTTCCACAGCAGGATGAAAAATGAACACGAGGATTCATAACAAATATAAGCAATTTGTAGCACAGAGGTGTAGGCATTGTGTTAAATGCATTTAAAATATTGTATGTAAATTGAATAGGTAGCCAAGTTTTAAGAAGGAGGAAGAAAATGTGCTGCGAATCAGTGGTTAATAAGGTGTTTATGGGTAGTGAAAGACTTAAAAATCAATTAAAAGTAAGGTTATCTATTTCAAGTAAATGTAATTTTTTCTGTGTTGGAATCAGCCACATTTGCTTCTGTTGAGGTAGTGTTTTATTTAAAAAGGTTTCTTCATTTGCTCTGCCTACAGCAGAAAATACTACTTAGCGTTGGGAACACGGCAGCACATTCCTTGCAGCACAACATTGAAAAACAGCTGAAGGAACAGTTTTCCCTTCCTTTGCTATGGTGCAACAGGAAAAGTGTACTGGAAAGGATAAAAAAAAAATCTTATAGGTGTTCAGTTTGGGTGGCATCCATTACTTGGTCTTGCTCAGGTATTTATTTTAAGCTTGTGAGTAAATCTACTGGATATTTTCAGGTTGGTGGGGTTTTTTTGTTTTTAGCTTTTGCAGTGGAGACATAGCAAATGGCAAATCCATTCCTAAAGAAAATCAGCTTCTTTCTTAGACAAAATCAGATAGTTTTAGTAGCACAGATGTTTTGCTTTATATAATGTATAATGCCTACAACTGAAATGGCACATACAGGAGTAATGTTTTATAAACAATAAATGAAATGCATTGAACAAACTTAAAATGTGATTTATGTTGTTAGCGTAATATTGATAGTGTAAACAGTTTGATTTTATGGAAGAAGCACTAATCTGATAGTTTTAGCAATATATTGTGTGGTAGGTGTACATTCACATGGAAGGTGCTTTCTCTTGTAATATTTCCATATTTTTAAGGCATTATTTGCTGATTTTTACGAAACAGGAATGCATTCCAGTGTAATGCAGATGTCATTTGGAACATCTTTGGAAACAGAGAATCTTGGGTGATTTGGGGATGCTTCTTAGTAGCTTCTTCATCTCTAAGCAAGAGTTCTAGATCTGTCTTTTCTCGAACATAAGGACAAATGTGAGTCTGTTCTGAAACCAAAGATTTTACTGTAGCTCTTTGCTGAGAGAGACCTCGGCTATAGAGCCAGACAACCTGATATGAACAGTCATAAACAAACCTATGGTGAAAGTTACAATATTTCAAAGGACATATAATCTGCTGTGCTTTTCAAAATCCCAAAGTAGGTAAGATATAATCAAATTTTATACTAGATTGTGTTTTGCCAGTCAGGCACCATTATAATTTGACAGGTGTGATGTGATGCAATGAGATGTGAATGACATAACCTAGTGTGACATAACTGATAGGCCAACATAAAAACTTAATAAACATTTCCAATAAGTTTACTCTCTTGTACTGCCCTGTCAGTCCACTGTCCTGTGTCAACATTTGGGTGAGGTATTTGGTGTTAAACCGATTACAAAATGTAGCAGTTTGTTTATTTGTGAGAAATGCTATAGATGGTTCTGTGTACCCTTTCTGGATGTGCTGAATATGAATAGTGTGCAAATATAAAATTATTTCAGTTTACTTACCTGGGAGTTATCCTAGTTGTAAAAGGTCAGTAATCTAGCTAGTGAATACTCTTCACTTTGCCTGCTTGCTTATAAATTGCCTAACAGTATTGTGGTGTTGTGACTAGCTCAAATTTGACTTCTTCTTTTTTTTTTTTTTAAGCTACAGAAGAATTAACAGGGATGCTACCCCAGAGGCTTTCCTACAACTAACCATGATGATGGCTTATTCAAGGTATTATAAATAGTGTCTGCTCATCTTCTGCTTCCCATTTACTTTCCTGATGCCATCATGTTTCTTTAAATTAATGAGAACCACTTCCTACAACTAGATCCTAGCCCTCCTAAAATGGCATTTGAAGTGGTATTTAATAAAAATAACATTAAAAACCCTATACACTCCACTAGATATACGTACTGCAATTTTGTTGTTTTTTTCCTGTCTATAGAAAGCTAATTAATTAGGTTCAAGAGTGTTAAATTTCTGTAGTAATTACTCACGATTCTTATTTCCTCAGTGGAAGCTGGTCGCCACACAAATACACCTTAGAATTTATTCTCATGATTGCATTACTTGTGTTTTATATGGAAAAATGATTAATATTGCGCATAACGAAGAATGTGTTTGCAAATGTTTGTTTCAGGAACTTTATAAATTGCTTAGAAGTTTTTTACTCTTGTAAGCAACTGATACAACTAATAGCTCTTGCAGAAGAATTCCATTCACAGCCAGAGTCAAAACCGTGCTATGGTTTCTTTCAAGCTACTCAATGTAAATGTTTACTGACAATGGACTGGATTATGGATTCCAGAAGGCAATCATCGTGCTTTACGTTACCTTTACATTTGAAATCTGGAGTAAGGAATTTCATGCCTAGGAATCACCTGAACAAAAAATGTACATGCAAACCATTATCAAAATTGTTACAGTTGTTTTTGGAGACTAAGAATAATATGAACAGGTCTTGATAATTTATTTCTTGCAACACTAAAGTGAAAATTTATTTCTTTAGAGTTCTAGGAGCGAAAAGGAGTCTGGATCTCTTTCTTTTGAGCTTCAGCCGTAGGAGTACATGGAAACTAAGGTAAAAATAATCTCATAAATCTCTAAGGAATAGAACTATGGATGCATATAAAGCTATCTAGTAATTTTTCACTAGTATAATCTAATTCAGATTTCTTTTTGTGTAAAGTGCAGATATTTGCAGGTGCAATTCTTGTTTTATGTTGAAGTCTAGTATAATAAAGCTTTTTTTCCCCCCGGAACAACATTCCCACAGTTCTCTTAACTTGGACAAAGCAGCAATGTTCTTCACATATTTAAAAAAACCTGCAAAAATAATCAAGCAGAGCAACGTGGGGGCAGCAAAGGGGGGAATCGACGAATGAGGAAATAATTGCTCCTTGTAGCTTAATACATAGGATTGGGTGGAGGGGTTGTAGAATAGGGGAGTTTCAAGGATATCACAGGACATTGTGAGTTTGTTTGGAATGCTCCCTTCCAGTGAGTAGCTATTTTATTGAAAGCTCCATCATTAGAGTCTTTGTGTGCTACTATTGTACAACGAAGGGTAACAGACCACAACAAATCTGAACAGTTCTGTCTTTACAAAGGGCATTAGCAGATGGTGACTTGTTTCTCTATGAAAAAGCAAGTTTATTTTACTGCTTGAGTTTTAGACCTAGAAAAGCCTTCTTGTGGCAGCTGAGAAGCATAGATAGTGTTCCTTACCATTTTCTAAATGTGCATGTTTGCTAGCAGCAAACAAGAGTTGTGTTGGTATTTTTTTATATGGGCCATCTCAACTTAATGCACTTGAACTTTATGGCCGAAGGTGGGAGTAGATTGAAACTTGCTTTATGCCCTGACACACTTTGATCCATCTAGTGCTGCTTGTGGGGAGTCTGTAGGTTGGTATGGATCACATCTGTCTGCCAGGATGGCAGCAATGAAGCCCTTGCAGGAATGGTGCGGGACTTCAGTATCAAGTAGGTCATAGAAAAAGTAGCCATTATGATATACTGTATGTACTCATGTAAACTGGACTTACTTCATCAGGTTGTCTGAAGCTTGCCACAATGCAAACCTAGAATTGAATTTGACTGGAATTTATTCAAATATTAAAAATATAGCATGAATATACTCAGTTGTCTCCCTAAAATAAGAAACTGGTCTCCAACTGACTCCTGCTATGAAGGTGTCTTATGCCTTTGTAACACTGCAGAGTCCATAGAGTTGCTTTGAATGCATATTTCACTTGAAATTTATGCACTTTTTTTTATTATGGAGGAACTTTATTGATGAAGGACATCTGAGTAGTACTTGAGACCTGAAATGTACTGGTTAAAGATAGGAACAAACTGTCTGCTCCCTGTGTGTAGCGGAAAGTCTGTAACTGTTTGTTTCCTCAAGTTGGCTGTATCTGGAATATTGAGTCTGGGCACTTTTCCCTGCAAAGGCCAGAAGTAACAAAGGTGATGACTGTAACTGTTTTTGTAAGTAGCCAGATGGTCTTGTTTCATTCACGTGAATAGATGATAGATACCTTAGGAAAGAAGTGCTCACTGTCAGCTGAGATGTAGTTATTTGTGGGCACAGAATACTGACATTTAAATCTGCTGGTTTTGTCTTAATTTCTATCAGAAATATTTTTCCTGAGGAAGCTAGATTATACAAACTAAAAACTAAAACGAAAAATATTGAACAATACTAAGTTATGGAATAATACTTAATATATTTTTTTAATAAGAAAAAACTCAGTTAAATCTTATGATCTGCTATTGAATTTAATACAGTCATCATCATAGTGCATTTTGGGGCTATTTTTCATGAAAAACAAGTTATGCAATAAATTTCAGTAAATTTGAAATATAAATTTATAAGGCAGAAGAGGTGAACGATGAAACAAAGGTAATGATAGGATCTAAAAGAGATTTGGAGATATGTTGCTAATGAATACAAATCTCTTGTAAGTTGTATTAATGCCTGTATTCAGCAAGTCCAAAAATTTTTTTCTGCGTTCTTCAACTACATTAATCTGTACTGGGAGCCTCTACATGCATTTGTTTTCTGCCTTTCTCTTCTACTTGTGTCTTTATGGCTGGTCCCACAAGGATATCCAGAAATAGGAGCAATGCAAACAGCGCAGCAGGCTTCTATGAAGCTTGCATGAGCTCACTGATAAACACTTGTTTTGCAATTTTCTTCTACCTTTTAAAGTTTGTGACTCAGCAAATAGTCCTGAGATACCTTACTAATTATTATATAGTATACGTGTTTCTTGACTAACGTAAGTGTCTTTCAAAGGAATTAGGCACACATTAGTTTTTTAACATATGAACAATGGGCCAGATGCATCCCTTAAGTAACTCCCCTCTTTCCCCACAGGTGATTTGTTTGGTTTGTAACTCCATCTTTACCTAGGCAAGCAGGTAGTTTCAAAGCCATGTAGCTGGGGTGATTTTGCATCAAGCAGGGGAATTCGTTAATGTTAAAATCAAATCTATTACTGTAATAGATTTGTAACTAAATCTGTTACCAGTAGAAGTCTTAAGACAGAAAAGTAACTAATTTCAAGCTGTTCCAGCCTTAGATTTGTGCTTATGCATCTGAAGTGCCCTACTAGTACATTCCCTCTCCTCTTTTCCCCCAAGAGGAAAAATTTGTAGAATGCTACTCCATGCATTGCATGTATTTTCTTTGCTGAGGAAAGTGTTTTGTTTCTTGCCTTCCTTCTGTGTAATATTCTGTTCAATTAGCAATGTAATTAACTCTTTCTAGTAACCAACAAATCATTTTAAAGTTATCTTCCAAATTTTCTAAGAGTTTGTCAGTCACAAGCTTATCAGATAATTTTGCCCCACTCGGATTGTGTTTTTGTGCCTCCTCCTGTAGGAAAATATATTATCTGCTAAAGGGGATGCAAAATTAAAATAAATTAATTCCTTGGAAATGTACATTGGTTGCTTAGCATTTATTCCATTGCTTGGAGCCTCATCTTTAAGTGCTGGTATTTATGCTACATGTTTGCCACACTAAGTATGTTGGTATAAAATGTAACAAGGGGCAACATTGTTCCCCAGTCCAGCATCAATATGGGGTCTAAGCTATGAATGTGATAACTGACTATACATTATAATTAAATATTCTTAATTCTGATATGGAAACAAATGAAATTCATCATTAACAACTGAGTTTTAGAGTGAACTTGTGCGGGGCATGGAAATATGTATGCTGAAAGAAATTTATGCAGATTAAATCCATTAGCAATTTTCTGCATACCTCATTAAGCAAAATATCAAATTCCACTTAGTTCTTCTGCTGCTCTCATTAGACAACTTAAACTGTACTATTTCATACCATGGAAGTAAAAATCCCTGATGTAGTTTCCCACTAGTGAATTCTCAAATATTTATAGATGTCATACTAACTTCTTGGACTAGTAACATTTTGTCACTGTACTGTTCCATTAAGTCCGTAAGGAGGCAGACTGCCTGGCTCCAGTGGTGGGGCTCTCTGGAAAAGAAGTGTATATGTTTTTCTTATAACAGTAGCTTGGCACCGTAACTGGCTTTAAAGCATTTGTGTAGCTGTGCATTGGGTGTTGAATTACTTTAATTAAAATATATAGATATTTATATTAATCTGGTGGAGACCAGATTAGTTTTGGCTTGGTTAGGCTTGCTGATTTGCTGATCTGATTCACCTGGCTTTGCAAACATTCTCCTACAAAGGAAGGGAAGAATGTACGGATTTGAATCTAGAGAGAGGGAGGGAGGAAAGATTGGCTTCTGGTAGGTTAAGTCTTTCTGATACTGTGGGAATATTGTGATCAAATCTCTAGAAGCCCAAGTCAAATGAAAGTAAGTGAAAACTATAAGGGGAGTTGGATTGTGAGAATTTGTAATAACTTTTGCAGGGAAAAGGGGAAAAAATGTGATCCCCTGTTCATTCATACACAAAAATAAAAGGTCCAAAAGAAAGTACAAGTTAGTATTATTATAACTGTCTCTACACTGAAAATCCTGAAAGAACAGAGAAACTTTTATTCTGTTCTCACTCCTTGCTGGTCTCCCTGATGTGGATACTGTGAAGTGCCAAAGAGTTTTCATTTCCATACTCGAACCATTTTGTCCAGTGCAAGTTTTCTCAGTTTAGAAAAAGACCAGTTTCTCAGCCAAAAGATGGCAGGCAGGTGGAGAAAACCCTCACAGTTGAGGTCTGTTTCTTTTTTTTCCCTCCTTTTTAAATTTTAATTAATTAATTTTGAATTAAAACAATAGAGCCAGAAAATACTAACATAGATGCTTAGATCCCCTCTGCATAGAATATAAGGCAGTATTTTGATTTTTTTAAATAGGCTAGTAGTATTTTTAGCTGATGTCTTTTCCTTCCTTCTTGCCAATGCCAGAGTGGTTAGCATTTCTGGTTTAACCTTAGGCTGGAAGCAGTGGTGTATAAGGGAGTAGATGAATTCTTGCAGTGCCACACGTAGTGTCCTTTGCTGCCTTTGATCGTTTGTCATTTTGATCATTACACAGTTTGAACAAAGTAGCTAATCAATCCCTTCTCGTTGTGTCCTTCACATTCTGCCTGCTATCAGCTTTGTTCATTTCCTTTATATTCAAAACTGTTCAGTAAATAGTATCAAAGGTCTTCTCGGCACTAGTGGGTGGGCCTGCCATTCTGCTGTGAGAGAAGGGGTGTTCTTGTTACCAGGTGGCACCCCATTCAGTCAATCAGGAATGCTGTGGAGCCACAGCAGGTTCTCTTCATGTGAGAAATACTTTGTATGTCATTATGCTTCCTTTCTGATGAAGTACACCCCATGTGCTAAGAAGCAGGGATGTAAGAAATGGGCAGATAAAATTTCTGGAGCACAAAAGACTTCTGAACTCCATTTCTTCTTTACGTAAAGAAGACTGAATATCTCATATATGAAAGTAGCTAAGTAGGAGGTTAGTGGTTTGTGCTTTTATTGGCTTTGCGTAGACTCTCAAGTCTACGCAAAGGGGGGGAAGAAGTTAAGGTTCCTGGATATCCTGCTGGACCTGGGGCAGTCTTTAACTGTGTAGGCAGTTTCAG